CCCAGTATCCACAGGCCCAAACACACCTGTTTGTGTTGCTTCACTTGGACTTCCCAGAATCTAGTCTACTGCATTTGCTGCTCACAATGTGGTCTCCTTTACACTGGGGAAAGGGAAGCGTAGACTGGGTGACCGCTTTGCAGAACATCTACATTTTGCCCACAGCCCTCTGGGCTCAATATTAAGTTCAATAATTTTAGGACCTAAACTCTCGCTTGTCCTAGCCCTCTCCCCCACACACCAGGCCTGGTTATCACATATCCTGCCATTACACGCCACCTTTTGTTAGTCTCTAACAGTTCCCATTGACAGCTATTCACCCTCCTAGCCAGATCGTTATCAACTCTTTTGTCTATTCCTCTGCTCTTCTGTCTCTTTAGGCTCTATCCTTTATCCTGTCATTTACTCCCTAACCCATCTCTCCCCCCACTCACCACTACCACCACCACCCATCACCACCACCATCCCCGGCCTATTTTCTGCATATAAACCAATGCTTTCCTAGCTACCATCGGTTCTGAGCAAGGGTCACTAGACCCGAAACATTAACTCTGATTTTTTTTCTTCACCAATGCTGCCAGGTCTGCTGAGCTTTTCCAGCAATTTCTGTTTTTGTTCCTGATTTACAGCATCCGCAGTTCTTTCAGTTTTTTTTCACCTGCTTTGATTGTTTGCTTGGCAAACATAGCAACATGTTGAGATAACAAGGTGTAGAGCTGGATGAACACAGCAGGCCAAGCAGCATCAGAGGAGCAGGAAAGTTGACGTTTCAGGCCTAGACCCTTCATCCAGCTCTACACCGTGTTATCTCAGATTCTCCAGCATCTGCAGTTCCTACTATCTCCATAGCAACATGTTGATGTAGTTTGCTCCAAAGAGCAAACTAGAGAGCTGTTTTACTCTGTTGTTTCTAAATATCCTGTATAATTTCCCAGTAGGTCTTAACAATCAAAGGAATATCACGTTGAAATCCTATCAGGTCAATTTGACAATTTGAAATCATTTTTTTAAAACTCTGGAAATAAAATGACCTATCAGATTGTTGTAAAATACAGGCTGATTCACTAATCATTTTGAAACATTAATCTCAGGGTCAAAGGTTGCTAACAGATTGGCCTAACTTTAGACTGTAGCCAGGGAATGGGTGAAGTCAGTTTTGAGGGAATAGAGTGTGGTGGGAGCTCAACAATGCTTCTGTTCATCCACTGGATGTCTGATCATTTCTAGGAATCGAGGGAAGGTCATCTCACTTAAATGTAAATCTGATTCCAAATCCATACAATTGACTATTATCTGTCCTCTGAAGTGACTTAACAAGTCTCACAGTTGTATCAACTTCTGAGTACATCTGGTTGGTCTTGCCAACAATGCTTCCATCTGAAGAATGTATTTTAAAAAACAGTGCTCGTGAATAAACTATGAGCTTTTGATTATAGTGTACTATATCTACTAAGTGTACCCTAAATAATAGGGTTAGTGCCTTCTCAAAAATTAGTCCTTGCAAACAGATTTCGTCTCCAAAATCCTTGCAAGTATTTTTGCCTGCCAACCCATGCCCAGCGTTTACATACTCCATGTTTGAGTCCCTTAAATTAGGTTTCTATCCCGCCACAATACTGAAACAGCTCCTATTAAAGCTTCAAATCATATCTGATGTGGCTGTGACAAAAGTAAGCTGCCTGTCCTCATCCTTCTCAATCTGTTGGCAGCCTTTGACATCTTGACTATACCATTCTGGACCACCGTCATCCAGTTGGGTACACCTGCTAGTTTCTTTCTTCTCTACTTAGCCATAGTATAAGCATCACCTGCAATAGCTTCTCTCCCCGCTTCTGCCTATTCCCTCTGGTGCTTCAATGATCTATCATTGACACCCCCCCTCCTATTTCTCACTTGTACACTATTCCTCTGATTTCATCCAAAACTATGGCATTAGTTTGCACATGAAAGCTGACATTGCCTCGTTCTACTTCACTATTTTTTCCCTTGACTGCTGCAGTGTTGCTAAATTATCAAGCTGTTCATCCGACATCCAGCACTGGATAAAAGTGAATTTTATCCAAGTAAATATTAGGAAGAATTAAGCCATTGCTTTTTGCTTCTGTTCCACTCTCTTCCCTAACTCTTGTCTGTACCCCTGTCTATTTGCAACCTTGATATCATGCTTGATACTGAAATAAGTTTCCAACATGTTTGTGCCATTACTAAGGTCATTAATTTCTACCTCGATAACATTGCCCAACTTTGTCCCACGTCACCTAATTAAATTTGTATTTATCCCTTTATTATTTTGAAATATAACTACTTTCAATTGATTTTATATTTTAAAAAAACACCATTCAAGTGTAGAGATTTGTTCCATCATCTTTCGTTTAGATTTCACTACTAAATAAAGATAAAACACTTAAAGGTTTCTCATTTAAAGATTTCCTTCATTTTTTTAGAAATGTGATCAGAAATGCTACTTGGGTCCTGAAAGGGTTACTTATTGCAGAAAACTTGAGATTTTTGGCCCTCTGTGTCTGTTTCACACTTGACCCACAAAAGAGGCCGTGTTCTAGCAATTTTTCCAGCGTTGACTGTAAGCCTGAAATTGATGTCTTGTCCGAACAAAATGTTCTGTGTGCTGACACAAAAATAACGGCCTCCCTTTGGCATTATCACCTGTTGTGGTTTTAGAGCTGGAACCCCCAACTGAGAGGTTTTCTGAAATAGAAGGGCATTTGCCAAATACCTAACTGGTGTTATCATCACTGCTGTTCCAGACAGGGTCCTGTTGTTGATCAACACTATGCAAGCTGGAGGCTCTGCATTGGATCAGGGTAATTTACATGCCATGTCATGCAGTTCACATGGTAGACAAAGCAAAATTTGGCACGTCACCCAACATATACTACAGCTGCAGGCTCTGAAATCAGTTGACAAGTTGACTTTCATAGGGAGGAGACAACGCTGTGTACTGTTTCACTTCTTTGGTAGAGTGCAGAGTCACATCATTCCACTACCCAATCTCCCTCACCCTCCCATCCCGTCTGTTACAGTATATTTGACTTAATTACACAGTTGTTCTCCAGTTTTTTTTGTAATTGCTGAACAAATTAAAGCTACATTTTTATCATTGACTAGAAATAGAGAGAAGGAAATGTATAGTTTTATCTGAAAGACCTCTGCTTTATAAGAAATTGTTTGTCATAAATCATGAACTTTGTTTGCATAAGGAACACCAGGTCAACAAAATGTCTTCTCACTGCAACACCATTTTGCCAGCAAAAGGAAAATTAGCAGATTGCCCACACGCCAAAAGCCAATTTAAGCCACAAGTGGCCAGCTAAGGGCCACTTCCCACAATGGTATTTTGTCTGCATTTGAGGGGTGTGGATGCTGCAGCTGCCATGAAATCTGGTGGCATTCCACTCAGTTCACCACCTTTTGGGAGCTCCAAGGTGCCTGCTGTGTTTCACAAAATTGTTACCCCAGTAAATGAGGCCTGCATATCAGGTCTTAGTGTCTCCCACCATCATTGGCCCCTCTTCAAGGACTGCAGTCATTGAAGTGCATCTTCCCTGCAGCTGCATCCACAGCAATGGTCACTGATAGCAGCAACTTGGCTAAGCTGCCATCCCTCTGCCTGAGCTGACAGTTCTTGCGGGAAGCTGATTATTCAGCCACCCCCGTGAATATGCCTCCCTATGTTCCAGCAAAAGCACGGGCCTCCCTGCTTTCAGCTCCAGTGGCAGAATTTCTACTGCCTCTAAAATTCAGTGTTTTGTTTCAGTTTAACCCTTAAATACCAGAATGTTTGTTCTATTACTTCCACCATTTTGTAAGCACTAAATGTCATCCAAACATACAAAATTCTTACATGGATTGACAAGCCCATACCCAGGAGTTTAGACCTGTGTGACACAGTCTCAGAATTGTGGGAAGACTATTTAGGATTGAAGTGAGGAGGAATTTTTTTCACTCAAAGGGAGGTGAATCAATTGAATTCTATGCCCAGAGGGCTGTGGAGGCTCGGTTGTGGACTTTGTTCAAGACTGGGATTGATAAGACTTATTATATTGAAAATGGCAAGGGATACAGAAATAGTGCAGGAAGATTGTGTTGAAAAAAATCAGCCATGATTTCATTGAATTATAAATCAGGCTCAAAGGAGTGATTGAATATTGTTTCTGTTATGTTGTTCTGCCTATTATTTCTGATACATTAGATATTGGTATCAATGCCGATCTTTGAAGGCCTTTACCCTGATGTATCCTTACAGTCACAGAGAGCAGTTACCATGAAGCACACTGACTAATAAGTGTCATCGTGACAGATCTTGACTGATCGTTGCCTTTCCTGTCATTTTCTCAAGATTTTATAACAAGTGGCAGCTCCCCCCCTCAACACCCCCATGCTGTCCCAATCAAAATTAAATGATTTATAGTGTCATTACCAACTGGGCTGTTCCTTTTCCTGATCTTACACTCACCATTAATGATTTATCTCATGGCTTCTGCAAAGTTGAATGGCAGGGGTTACATGACAGAGGCCCAAGATGATTCTGCTCCCTTTGGTGAACTTCGTGGGCTTTGCTTCTGATTTCATCATAATGCAACATGTTATCACTCCATTTCTTTTGCACTAGCATAGCAGATGTCTACAAAAAGAAACAAAAGCTTTGCACTCTAATGTTACCCTCTCAAAATACTTTCTTGTAAGATGTACATTAATTTTGAATGTTTTTGAGAAATGCCACTAAAAATATCGAGGAGTAAATTTTATTGCTTGTAAGCAATTCTTGGGGAAATACAGCATCCAAAATTTTCTCCCACATTCATCCATATATTTAGCTGTTGCAGAAATTCCACCCTCCCTACTCAAAGATACTTAATGACCAAAGCTGTTACTGAGTTATATTTTGTGTTCTTGAATGATATTTTCTATTAAGTGTTTTATATCTGCTTTTAAATACCATGGAAAGATCCTAACTTTGTTTTTTTCTCCCTTCTGTTTAGGTGCCTGTTGACCAAACCGTGTTTAAAAAGTTCAAGCAAGATGAAACTGCTTCAGAATCTTCAAGTGCAACTGAGAAGGAAAAACAGCCTGAATGGTGGCGATCCTTTTCCTCCCCATCTAGCACTAAGGTACATAATTCAATAAAAAGTCAAAATAATCACTTCATTGGGAGGGAGAAGTGGCTGCTTATGTTTAAGCCTCTGAGAAGCAGGTGGTTTTTACTAATCTTATGGAAGAAGGATCCAGCATTGAATTTGTGCATTTTGCTGTGCTTTGACACAGCTTTAATGATTACATGAAAAACATCTACAGTACATATTGACGTTGAGCACATCTGAAGATGGAGCTGTAGCTGCTTAGCTGCTTAACTAATAGGAAAATTTTGGCAACATTCTGGAGAAAGCGGGGTTTCTTAAAAGAGGAAACAATATGGGGAAAGTTTTATTTTAATAATTGAATGAAGTTCTATTATTTTGTTGACAGTGGATGTTCTAGGCATCTAATGATCAAGACTAAGTGTTAAGACTACTTCCTCATCAGAAACATTATACAATGTAAAATTCCCTTCCCTCTGTCCCAGTGAATGGTTCACTGGATAAATACACAATCCTGTATGGCACTGATCCATATTGACTAAGATTGGCTGCATTCAAGTTTTGGTGTGTGCTGATTAAGTTGATCTCAGCCAAAGTAATGCCTAGCCCACTGCATTTGGCATCAGCACCTTTGGGCTAGAGTGACAAAACTTTTTAGATTTATATGAGTGTGCAGTACATGTACTTATACGTCTGTTGTACCTGGTAGTGATGACCAGAGTAGTTATTTAGGGATGGTAAAGAGGCCTGTAAAGAGGGTAAAGAGGACCTTTAGAAGCGCCGAACCATAAGTCAGCTTCAGAGCAGGAGCATCACAGAAAATAAGGAACAAGTGAGGAAAAGCTACAAAATGTGAAAAGAGCTATTGTATTGCAATTGGAAAGATAAATAATGTTTTTTTTTGTCTAGAATGTTCTAAGTAGCAGTTGCGCACATTCTCAACAAAGACTGTCCGCCTTCAGGCCCTGGTCACCCACCATTTCAACAAGTGAAAAAGAAACTCTGACTCACCTTCCTGCAGTGACCCGAGACAGGTACACATTCTGTTTCTGCTCCAAGTAAAATGGGATTTTATTTATATTTCTTTAAAATTCACTGATGGCAAACTGGGATATACATTACTAAAATCTAGAGAACTTACAACTGGAAGATCCAGATTAAATCAAAGGGCATAAATTTCCCAGCCAGGTGGTTGTGGATTCTGGTTTGTGTGGGAAGAATAGTTCCAGAAATGACTTTGGGTCAAGATTCTAATTTAATTTACCTACTTCTGGTTTCCCTGGGCCTAAGTAAACCCCCATGGAACTGACAACCCGTGATGTGTCCTCAACTTCCTGGGGGCAGTGGGACATGAGCATGGTGGGAAAAGCGTCCTCAGTGCAATTGACAAGCTATGATGAATTCAGTCAGTTATACTGAAGAACTCCAGCTTCTGTTAAAAATATTTCTTCACAGGGAATGTTTTCGCTACTTTACAAGTGAGTTCTTCAGAGCCTCCCACTGGAGCATACGTGTAATTCCAGTGCCATGTGGAATCATATCCCATAAATTCTTCTGACAGGGGGGTGGGTGCTTGAACAAAAGTTCAGCTTGTGGGTCTTAAGTTTTATTAACATCAATGACAGGAAAAAAAAATTCTCACAACAGAATGAAAGATGAGAATCTTTTTTAAACTTTGGGAATGGATATATTTTTGCCATATGTCGTTTGAGGTTTAAAAATTGAATGGGTTTGTTTGTACCTTCTCCATAGTTTCTATGCATATAAAAGTTACGAAGGTTCAGTGGCACCAAATGTAGCTTTGACAGCCCTGCCCCAGCAGAGGAATGGACGACAGTCACCATCAGCCACTGCAGTCACTCAGAACATCGCGACTCCAATTGAAGCTAACAGATCTCGGAAAAGGAGGGCAACTGCAGAATCACAGCTAGAACAGGAAACAGCTGCTCCACTTGCTGCAGTGTTTCCTTCTGAAGACAAAGATTCAGATGCTGAAGTGGAAGTTGAGAGTAGAGAAGGATGTAAGTTTAATTCACGCAGCTATTCTAAATCCAATCCTTCCACCCCATATGATCCTCTCTTGAAAGGGCAGTTAAATGGCCTGCTTCCAAGCACCTGTCAGCACAGCACTTGAGTCAAACAATAATGTGATTGGTTTACATGCTTTACTTCCAGTCTGTGCCTCTCCCAACATGCCAACTCAAGGAACCTATTTTGAGTGATTGCATAGAATACATTTCACAGAAAGAGTTTATTTGGCCTGACCAGTCCACCCTGATATTTATGCTGCACTTGAGCCACCTCCTATATTTCATCATATAAATCTAGCATCATAGTCATACATTCCTTTCTGCTGTAAATGCTTGTCCAACTTCTCTTTAAATGCATTTATACTAACTGTTTCAACCCCTCCCTATAATAGCAAGTTCCACAATCTCACCACTCTTGTTGGCTAAAGAAGTTTCTTCTGACTTCCCTATTGGATTTCTTAATGACTATCTTATATTGATGGCCTTTAAATGTGCTCTTCCCCAAAAGTAGAAAGTCTCTCCTATCCACTCTATCAAAACTTTTCTGAATTTTAAAGACCTCAGCTTTTTTCAAGGGGAAAGAGACCCAGCATATCAATCCTTTTCTGATATGTAAGTACAAACACATTTCTGGTAAAATCCTTATATATCTTTTCTGCTGCCCCTGTAAGACCTTTTTAAAATATGATGGCCACAACTGCAGCCAGTAAAGTACAAGTGTGATCTAAACAAGATTCAGTACAGATTAAGCATAACTTCCCCACTCATCAGTTCTGTCCTGGTAAAAATAAAACCTAATGCTTTTTTTTTATGGTCTTGTTAACCTGTAGCACAACTTTTAGCAGTTGGCATATTTGTACTCCAGATCCATTGTTCTTCCATTTCACATGGACCTGGATATTCCAAATGATAGGTTACTTCCCTATTGTCCTATTAAAATATATTATTTTACTTTTGTCTGAGTTGAGCTTTATTTGCCAATTATTTGCTAATTCTGGAAGATTATTAATGACCCTAGTAATTTGTTGCAGTCCTCCCAGTATTGACTATATGCCACCTAGTTTGGTTTCATCTGCAAGTTTAGAAAATGTATTTTTGATTCCAAAGTCCAAAATAGAGCAACATATAGAAACAAATGCCTTGGATGTTACATCATGGGACAGTAATGAATAAATGAATTGCTCTCTCTGCTGATTTAACATTGTGATCATTAATTTATATTAAGCAATGAACTTCCTGTTAAAATAGCAGCTAGAGATTCCAGATGAGTATCCTACAGTTTAAGTTCAGAGTCAATGCTTCTTAGATTGAGAAAGAAAAGTGAAATTATGGCACTTGAAAAAGCCTTTGGACAACCATTATTGAGATAAACCCCAATCATGATCGTATCTGCCATATTTACGCTTGTTACTCAATCTCAACTGAAGCAGCCGCACTTAAGCGGGCATCTGTTTCATTGAACTAGACAGAGGAAAGTCAGAGTTTGCACTTTAGACAGTAATTTAGCAACTAGGATCGGAAAATGCATATGCATGGAAATTGTACAAAGGTAAGGCTGGTCCTCAGCTGTGATCCTTCATCTGATACTTGTTTAGATACCCACATGAAGAATGGTCACATGATCAAGGTACTAGAGGATGGTCAGCACTTATTGAATTGTACCCCAGCATAAACCTATACTTTCAGGAGATGGGAAAGAAGTAAAATATGTTGCTTGTCAAAAGGAACCTGTGAGAAAGGGTTAGGATTGGAGACCAAATTTAAAGTCTACTTCTTGTATTTAGTATAGCTTCATTAGTAAATTCCAAATAGTCCACATTAACAACTAAACTCTCTCATTATAAGTATGTATTATAATACAAATGTATTTTCCCTCCTACAGTCACATCATCATTGTCTTCACTTTCTTCTCCCTCCTTCACTTCATCTGGCTCATCAGCAAAAGACCTGAGCTCACCTGGGGTGCAAGTTGCATCTAGTGGTGCATTTGAGACTCCAGGCCACACAGAGACACATAACAGTGGATTAGAAGTGGAGCTAGAACACTTGAGGCAGGCCTTAGACAATGGAATCGACACCAAGGAGGCCAAGGAAAAATTCTTGCATGAAATCATCAAGATGCGAGTAAAGCAAGAGGAAAAACTGAATGCTGCGTTGCAAGCCAAGCGCAGTCTACAGCAGGTAAGAGAAGGAGACACTTATAAAATAACCTGATTTTCTAAATTCCGGATTAAATTGGTACTCAATGACAGAATAAATGTGCATGAATAGAAAGGGTGGTGAATTTTGCATTTACTGTCTTCAGATAGATTAACAACTAACCAAGGAGTGAAAAAGTACAGTGTGCTGGTGCAGTATTGATTAGTACAATTTTTATATTAGTGCTCTTGACAGATTTGCAACCATTATAATTTTCTGAACACAATAATCAGCCAAGTAACCAGCAACAATTAGTAAAGTTAGATCAAGTTAGGTGATCTTGCAATTTGATTACAGAATTGGCTCCATGGTAAGAGACAGAGGGTGGTGGTAGAGGGTTATTTTTTGAACTGGAGGCTTACGACCACCAGTGTTCCACAGGGATCAGTACTGGGTCCGCTTTTGTTTGTCATTGATATAAATGATTTAGATGAGAATATAGGAGGCATGATTAGTAAGTGTGCAGATGACACCAAAATTGGTGCTATTGTATACAGTGAAGAAGGTTTTCTAAGATTATGAAGAAATCTTGATCAATTGGGTCAATGGACTGAGGAGTGGCAGATGGAGTTTAATTTGGATAAATGTGAGGTATTGCATTTTGACAATACAAACAAGGACAGATCTTAGATAATTAATGGTAGGGCCCTGGGTAATGTTGTAGAGCAGAGAAACCTAGGGGTTCAGGTACATAATTCTTCAAAATTTGCATCACAAGTAAACAGGGTGGTTAAGAAGGTGTTTAGCTGCTTGCCTTCATTGCTCAGACCTTTGAATGTAGGGGTTGGGATGTCATGTTGACATTAGTGAGGCCTTTTCTGGAGTACTGTGTGCAGTTGCAGTCGTCCTGTTAGAGGAAAGATATTAAATCGGAGAGGGTTCAGAAAAGATTTACCAAGATGTTAGTGGGACTGGAGTGTTTGAGATATAAAAATAGATTGGAAAGACTGGGACCTTATTCACCGGAGCATAGGAGGTTGAGAGGTGACCTTATTGAGGTTTATATGAGGTGAATGACAAGGGTCTTTTCCTTAGGGTGGAGAAGTTCAAAACTAGGGAGTATAGTTTTAAGGTGAGAGGAGAAAGATTAAAAAAAGACATGACGGGCAACATTTTTGGAGAGTGGTTTGTGTGTGAAATGAACTGTCAGAGAAAGTGGTGGTTGAAGGTACAGTTACAACATTCAAAAATCATTCGGATAAGTTCATGAATAAGAAAGGTTTGGAGGGACATGGGCTAGGCATGGACAGGTGGGACTAGTTTGGTTTGGGAACATGGTTGGGCTGAAGGGTCTGTTTCCATGCTATATGTCTCTATAACAAGCCAAAAACAACCAAAAACAGAAATTGTTGGAGAAGCTCTGGCAGCATCAATGGAGAGAGAAAACAGATAACATTTCAGATTCAGTGACCCCTCTTCAGCCAGTAACAAGCTAGCACTATTACCTGAACTCCACAGAAAGAATTCCAGTTTGGTTGAAATAAGGACAGCAAGAACCTATAGAATATAACCTCAACATTTGTGACCTTAATGAATTAGCCTATTATGTCCTCACTGCAAATACATGGTTTCAATGCATGCAAATTCGTATCACTTAAGCTTTTTCTGTACTTTTCCACCAATCCAGTCTAGTCTTCTATACTCCCAGTATAGTTGTCTTTAATCAGATTTCAAGTTGACAAAGTATATGATATCACTATGATTGTGCTATACCTGAAGCACCAGTCTGATTCAGATGCAACATTTATACTTTTGAGCAATAATTTAGACATGCTTTAAAACAGTCTCCTACACCACCACAAATTATCTTGTAGACCACTGATTTTGCCTAAGGGTCCCACTTTTGTTGGAGAAGAAGTCCTGCATTACCTCAAGCAAAAAAAAAATTGAATAATTAATTGCAATTTTGTTTCAAGCTGACTAACTTAACCAGTGGCTGCCAAAGTTATCAAGTAAAACCTACTACCTGGCCTGTGGATGTGAATTGCTCGTTCCAACTGCAGTCAAGAAACATAACTGTCCACATCTACAGTGATATTCATCTTACTACTGGTGTCTGCACTGCTTTCCGGGGATACCCACAACATACACTTGAAGCCAATAAGGACTGCAGTTGCTGGAAACCAGAGTCAGTAGTCAAAGGGTTTCGGCCTGAAATGTTGACTTTGCTGGTCCTCTGATGCTGTCTGACCTGCTGTGCTTTTCCAGCCTCACTCCACAACATACACTGATGAGTTCATTGTTTTGCATATTCTGCATTATAATATTGGCATGTTTATTTATTAGAACTATCATGGTTCATAATATTAGATAATTGTTTTGACCGTGCACCCAGTTCTTTAGTCTACAGTGTCCTGTACAGGAAATGATAAACATCATGGCTTCTCATGCTGAGGGGATGAAAAGGGCCTGAGGGAAATGTCATCTTTATTATCTCATTTCTTACAGTTAAGAAACAAAGGGTTGCTTTTTATACTAAATTACTCATTGTTGGGCAGCACTCAAATGATTATCATGAGGATGCCCATTTCTGTGAGTGAAGTGCAGTAACTACTGCAATTACAAGCAAAATCTACTAATTTATTTTGGTCTTGAACACTTCAATATAGACAACAGATATGTAAATGACATATTCTAATGTGAAGGTAGCAAGGCCCCAGTGGCACCCAGAACCTAGTATTTCATGGATTTTAAAAACAGAATTTGTCAGGTTGGAAAACTACTGCCTCCCTATATTGATTCTCCAATGAAAAACAACCAGAAAATACAGCAGTATAAAACAGTGTTGTATCCATTTTGGTGCTACTTGGAAACTTATCGTAGGATTCTATCTTTGGCTAATTAATATAGAGTCATGTAGCGTGGAAACAGATCCTTCGGTCCAATTAGTCCACGCCGGCCATGTTCCCAAACTAAATTAGCCTCACCTGTCTGCTTTTGGCCCATATCCCTCCAAACTTTTCCTATGCATGTGCTTATCCAAATGTCTTTTAAACATTGTAACTGTACCTGCATCCGCCACTTCCTTTGGCAGTTCTTTACACAAATGAACCACTCTCTGTAAAAATATTGCCCCTCATGTCCTTTTATGTGTTGATTTCCATCATTTTGGAAGGTGTTTTTCCAACCTAACCACTAATTTGGAAGAAATAAAAACAGAAAATGATTTTTTTGTCCCTAATTGATGCCTGAAATGGTGAGTATTTCCAGTATTTTCTGTTTTTTAGATTTCCAGCATCTATGATATTTTACATTTGTACTAATTTGTAAGGCTAATTTTTCAGTCGAACACACTTCTTTAATGAACTGAATTCTGTCCAATTCTTTGCTTTGTAGGAACTTGAATTTCTCCGTGTGGCCAAGAAAGAGAAACTACGTGAAGCAACAGAAGCAAAGCGCAATTTAAGGAAAGAAATTGAGCGTCTTCGAGCAGAGAGCGAGAAGAAAATGAAGGAGGCAAACGAATCACGGATAAGGTTAAAACGAGAACTAGAACAAGCAAAACAAATCCGTGTCTGTGACAAAGGTTGTGAGGCTGGGCGACTGAGGATCAAATATTCAGCACAGGTAATTATGGTATTAGAATAATAAAAATTCATGTCACTTTCTAAACACAAAACACACCCTTTGTTTTGTTTGTGAATATGGAGTAGATTGCAAAAGCAATGCTCGAATGTTCTATTGTATTTTGGCTGACAAACTGAAAGTTATGAGAACAGGAAAACCACTGTCTCGATACTTCTGAGGAACCCTGATAAGATCAACTAAGATCTACCAAGCACAGGTTATTCTGGTTGTGAACGTGAGAACCAGTCTGTTGATTCTGAGCTTTCTGTTGACAAGGTAAAGAATTTTGCATCATGGTGTTGCTTTTGTGTTGGGGCTACAAGAGTTGGTGTACTTTCCAGTTCCTTTTTTCCCCGTTTTTTCAATCTTCTCCTTCTTCCATACCTGCACTCTGACTCATCCAATTCCCTCAACCCCATCAAAATTCTTTGACTGACATCTTGCAGAGCCTTTTTCAAGTAGCCTTCTTCAAATCTAAGTTAAACCAAGACCTGGAGAAAACCAGACTTGGCTTTGGGCTCCTTGTAATTGCAGCAGGTAAGTTATGCACCTGTCATCTTTCCCACTGCAGGGCCTTTGGTATCTTCACCAGCTTTGACAATGAGTTGTCATGATCATTAGTAGAACTGGGGAAGGGGGAGAGGAGGTAGAGGCCTTCACATTTTAGTCGCATGATTTACCAATCATGCTATGCAAGAAGCTTCATCCAGTTTTTGAAATGATCCCTTTTCCTGCCTTCTCCATCAGAAAGGTAATCGTCTTAATTCAGCACCACCTCTGAGAGCTTAGAATCAACCTGGATGTAACCCTGTGTTCTATTGTACTGTTAGACTGTTTTTGCATCACCGATTTATCTGTTAAAAAATCTGTATTGTTTAAGTATATATACTGTCCAATTTAAAAATTTACATAGAGAAACAAATAGTCTTTTAATACAGATAATGAGTAAAACATATCTAGCAATCAAATGAGGGTAAGAAGGGGTTAAGATTATAAAGCCATTAAACATTCCTCTTTCGGCTTGCTTCCAGAAATGAACAAAAAGATTGGGAAGGGGGAAAGTAGTACAGATTCAAGACATTAGCAATGAAATGAGAAAAGGAAATGATGCAGATTTCCATTTCACCATCATGGGAAATTGCACAGGACAACTGTGCCAGACTAAACAAAATCGAGTAGGAACTGCAACATGGGTGTCACCCACAGTACATTTCTGGTTGAGGGAAATGGATGACATTCCTTACAATCCAGCTGTGTTCCATACTGCAGTGTTTACAGTATCTTTCACACAACACCAAAAGAAAAGTGTATGGAAAGGATTAGCTAAAGAAACATGAACAAAGTAAATACTTATCAGTGTGGAAAACTTTCTTTCTTATATCACATTGACACAGAATTTCAGCTTGTGAAACACTGCTTTGAAATTGAATAACCTGGTGTACATCTAAGTGTATATTGCTCGCACAGAAACCACATCAAAGGCATGTGAAACTGATTAGCATAGAATCTCTGGACTAGGCCACCCTTTTTTCAGTGGAGCTGTTTTATGTTAAATTTTGCTTGCCTAAGATAATTTTCAAAGCAGTTATTATGTTACAATGGAACTGCCATCATCCTGAAATGATGAGCACTCTTTTGGTGAAAGTTGACGTCCAAGATTATGTGCTGAATTTCTGGATCCAGTTTTAAACTCACATTCTTTTGAATCTAATCTGAAACTGCTCCTTATTAAACTACACTGAGGTTTAAATTGATCTGCCCCAGGCCGTGCCCTGTTTCATGCCAGCTCAGCGCAGCATCAATTCCCTGATACTTCAAAAATCTATCTATCTCCTTTTTAGATATTTTCAGTGATCTAATTACTACCCACTGCTACATGCATTGCATACAAGCACTGATCCAATACTCATAAATAATCAACAATAGAATTATTTTAAGATCAAGATATTGCTGCTGCATTGTTAGTTTGATTGATTAAAACTCAGAACTTGGCCTCACAGACCAGAAAGGTCCCAGATTAGATCCTTGATCTAGGGCTGATTTGGTTGATTTAATCTAAATCAGTGACTAGACTATGACAGTTGGTAGCATTACCCCTGAGTTCTCACCCTGAGTACTGTCCACTGGTTCCTGCTGAAAGTGCCATCACACTGATGATGTGGATGAGAAAAGGATCAGGCTCAGCTGTGATATCCACCTACTTAAATCATTCATTTTCATGGTCTGTAGTTTCACAAGCTGAGTTAATGTCATGTTGAAAGGAAAATGTTCATCTATTGCAAGTATTTGTCTTGTTTTAGTTTATTTATGGGTCACAGATGTTATTTGTTTCTTGGATTGCTAGTTGCTGCACAGCGAATTTTTAGTCATGGTCAGGAGGTGCTGTTGATTCCACAAGAAGAGGAGGTTGGATTGGCTACTCGCTTTAGCACGCTTCCTAATAGCTGGTCATAGAGCAGTGGCAGCCTGTTGTCCTTCCTTTTGAATGGATAATGATTTGTGCTGTCAAAAGAATGGCAAAATAATAATAAAGCAAAATTAGAAGGGAGGTATGATAATGAAATAGTCCCATGACAACATCTCTGACATTAGCTACACCTGCTAGCAACACTAAGCTTTTGTGCCATCTATTTACATTGCCATTATCACCTATTTCTTCCACATGTTATATTGGTTGCCGTCTCCTCTAATTAAGACTTAATTGTCAAGCTAGCTGTGCTGAAGTATTAAGGCACAGACCTGACCTAGAGTTACAGCTGAGCCAAGGATTGTTTGTTATATTGTACTAGTATCCTCAGTTGCAAGCCAATTACACTCTCCCAGACGCATCAATTATCTTGTGAGGAGAAGACCATGCTAAACATAACAGGTGGAAGACGGTTGGTGGCAGTTAACAAGAGTCCAAAGGCTTTTGAGATCTGCATTAGCTATTGCTGATAACCAAGGTGTAACTAACTATTCTGTCATAACTTGTAGTACACCATATTTCTCAATCGGAATGTTGCAGCTTGTGTTATTTGCGTTCTTGTTCTTTGTGGGAGTCATTTAATTTTTTTGTAACAGGTAAGTTGCTCCCAAAGTTTTTGAACCTTTTGAAAACTAAAGATATTTTATGGCAGAAGGTTATAATTAGAGTCCCTGGAATTAAAATGTTTTTCTTTTCAATATGTGGCCACAAAACTATCGCTAATTTTGAAAATCCTTTGGAGAGTGAGAAAGAAAAGAATTAGAATATTTGTGTCAAGCTGATTACTGTGGCTAGATGCACAAAAATGGATGAATGTCAAATGATTTACTGTTCACTATTTTTTTTAATAGTTAGGAAGGGCACATCTTGGACTCCTGTATGTTTTGATCCTTATCATAACTTGAAAAATATAATCTACATTAGATTTCAGCTCTGTGATGTGGCTGTTCATCACATTACATTCCCAGCTGCAAATACAAGCCTTGCTTAACACAAAAAAACTCTTATGAACATCGAGTTCTAGGGGCTGAACACAGCACCATATTTTTGCAGCTATTCCCAAAATGCCACATACGTGATTTTCCTGATGCATAACAGTCACTTCATAGGAATGTTAGGAACTAGAGCAAGCCATTCAGCTCCTTGAGCCACCAGGTATCAGACTATATACCAGACACTCTATCTTTGCTAAGTAATTGAGTAAATTTGTTACTTTGAGATGAAATTGACAAATTAGGACAGGTGATAGATCTGTGTATTATACCATGCTCATCATCAACATGCAGTCTTCTTGATCTGTTGTCCTTTACTGAGAATTATCACTTAGAACAGGGTCCATTTCCTGAAGTCAATCACATAAAATAAATAACATTATTTGTGTCTCTGTCAGTGTTTCTGCAGTCATACAATGCCCATCTATCATGCACTTTTTGCTAATGAAGTAGCCTCTTGCCTCATGGAATAGAATGTGTACAATTTACACAGAATCAGCATGGTTTATTTTGTTCAATTTCACTTTTTTTCAGATTGAAGAGTTGCAGGTCAAGTTACAACATGCTGAGGCGGATCGGGAACAGCTGCGTGCAGACCTCCTTCGGGAGCGAGAGGCACGGGAACACTTGGAAAAAATGGTGAAGGAGCTTCAGGAACAACTCTGGCTGAAACCAAGCAACTCCACTACCAGCAAGGTGGTTTCAAAAGACAGTGAAATTTAAAAGAGAATTCATAAAATTGTATATTTGTGTGTAAATGTATGTTTGCATATTCATACATACACACGGCGGATGCAAGAGTTGACTGTTTTCGGAGAAAGAATGTTACTTCAGACACGCACTGAAACTATCCTTCCCTAAGCGAGACAGCACAGCACAGAAAATGTGTGCCTGCCATCCTGCCAGACATCAAATACTCAGCCGTTCCTGAGATATTTTACTGCGGTTAGTGACAGCACCAAGGAATTCTTATTCTGAAATTTCTTTTCTTTTTCTCTACAACGCATCACATGGCGTACAGGATTCCTGGACAACTACAGTACCAAATAAACTAAAAGGGAGGAAGAACAAAAAAAAAGGTCGGGGAGGGACAATAGTACTTTCTCTGGTTAATTTACAGAACTCTTCAGATTCTACTTTTGTAATAAGCTATTGAAATATAGAAACAAAAAAAAAACTTTTGAAAATAGAAGACTTGATTTTAAACCATGTTTGAATTATGTGCAGTTGTTATGAAACTTTTATTTCTCCCTTGATATTTCACGTGCAGTTTCCCCAGGACTGTCTATTGTATAGACTGGTGGCTCCCCACCACTTTCCATTTTTTTCTTTATTTAGAGAACTTCACCATGAGTCAGATGAGAAGCCATGAAATAACATTACTACAAACCCCTTCCTTTAAACTAAAGAAAAATGACTCATGGAGACTCTCAATTCATTCTCCCACCCTACCTCTTCTTTAGTTGGATTATTTTCAGGTGGGGGGGATGTTATAACTCGCTTGGCCTTACCACTGACAGAGCATTCTATAGAAAGACTTGGAAGTTTTTTTGTCTCTGTTTATGTTATTGTTTGAGAGAAATTAAAAATAGATATGTTCAGAATGTGACCCTAATTCCAGTACACTTCAGTTAAAGGAAGAAAATGGATGGAGGAAGAGAGTAAATATCACAAAAAAGTGGGACAGTTGTTGAGATTACATGTAATGACAGAATAACTCATTATGATTAGAACACCATTCCAAAATACACAAGTTTTTGCAACCAGTAAATTTAATAAAAGCAGCTTCCTGAAACTGCTGCTTTTCTGTGTTCGCAGTATTTACAGTGCTCATTGGTTCACTGGTTTTTTTTAGTTCAGTTTCTTATTATTATTTTTATTTTTGCTTTGTATTGTTCGGTGCTTCACTCTGTTCACTGAACTAACATTTGCAGAATACAGGATCAATTGGGTACCTTGCTTGTAAAATGTTATATTTATGGTGCTCCCTTAAAAATTATAGGACTACTTGCTTTTTCATATGAGCATTCATCACTCTTGTCAACAAACTGCAATAGGATTAAATTCACAGTCAGAGCTTCTGCACAGAACAAATTTGAATTCATAGTTAAATCCTTCTTACAGCTAAGAAGAATTTGTTTGTATTTTAATTCACTTTCTGGGAGGGAAATGGTGACTGCAAAGGAAAAAATTTTCTTTACACTTTGCTGTTTCTTGTTTCAGTTGCATTAACTGTTTCAATCCCAAATTCGTCTCCCAGATATCAGATATTGCATCTTAGAGGAAGCAAGATCTTTGGTTTACTTACTGCACTTTTCATGTTCCTCCGTTCCTTGTTCATCTATTTATTTTAAACCCCCCCTCACTCCCCCCCCCCCCCCCCCCCCAACACCCACCCCCCCCCCCCCAAGTCTAACCATTCTCCCTCCCATCTCCTAACTCAGAACTGTGCTGCATCATCTTGACGACGAAACAGGAATGTAATCTGGACACAGACGTGTCACAGTCATCAAGGCAGTACAACATTGACTCATGCTGTGATTTTAATGGACCACCATCTCCACTCTGAGTAGCCCAACCAAAATCAGGAATCATAGCATGAAGTCAGATCTGTTTCTTACTGTTCTGTGGGACACTGAACTACTCAGCTTGATTTGCCTTAGCGAGAATTTTCTTGACAACCTAAACAGTTGTGAACTGTGCAGGATGTGTGTGGGAATGGTAAAGACAAAAAAAATTACAAATACTTGTTCTGCACCTGCTGCATTTTTTCCAAAGCCCATGTAGGACCCAATAAGATCTAGTAATCTGACATTAGTGTAATTCTTTATAAATTACATTCATATGTTTTTCTCTCTTAATACTTAAAAGACACCCGCTGCTGTGTTTCATTAATAAGGCTAAAAAATATTTATCACATGGAATGAATTTTTAAAGTTTAAAAAATTTTAAGATATTCTGCATGAATCCAGTATAATAACCATTGTTACTGTAAGATTTAAGAGGCGGATCTTTTGAATTTAGGTTAAGTGGGAGAGTTGTCAGGGCAGCTCAAGAATTGTGGGATGTGTCTGATGTAAATCAAAAATCTGGAGGAAATGGGAAGAATATTGCAAACATTTTGCAGGGCGTAACCCCAGATAGTGACAATCCCAATACTTAATGGGATCCAGCTTCACTTTTTTGTGAATACAAAATTTTAACAAAAAAACACACTTCCCCCATTATGAGTGCAATGCAAATGGAGCATAATCATATTTATGCAATTATGTGGAATATTTCTGCTTTTTTTCTTAATGAGAAAACTCATTATCTTTCATATGCATGGAGTTCAATATTTCTACCATACAGTACTCTTTAACGGGCATTAAAACTTGTATATTAAGGGTTTTATGTTTATATAATATGCAAAAAAAATCAGCCTTATATGTCATTATCTCTTCTTTCCTGGTGTCTCAAGCAGTCTGTTTTATTGACTTTTTCTTGTTTGATACGGTAATGCAAAAAAGGAGAAGCAGTACATTACCAGTTACTGACTCTCCTAGCAGACAAAATGTCTTTTATGTTGTGTTCTTTTGTAAGCCGCTAATTGTTCCGTCAGTTGTGACGATTCACATTACTTTAGGGTTTCAAATAACTTGTGGGGGGAAAAAAGTCAGAAAAAAGTTTTTAAAATGAAAACATTCTTCAGCAATAATGCTTTATACCCAAGGGGCAGCTAACTACAGCTGGGTTTTTGCACCAATAATGTCCAGAGTTACTTGATGGAAACTAGTTCTGTTCATATAGTTTTTTGATGAATCCTGTAGAGTTTTGCATGCAAAGGAGAGAAAAGTGCAGAGAGGGGTTGATTACAACAATAATAACAGCAAAGTATAGTGTTTTTCATATTTTTATGTTAAGGTAGTTTTTTATTATTTTTATACTGGGTAGTTCTTTGTGTGTGACGTGCGTGGATTGTCATTTTTTTTAAATAATGTATACCTAACACGTAAAGCAGTATTTTAATCCTTAACACACATTAATACAATAATCTATTATTATGGTGCAGTCTCCGTTTTAACTTTAGTATTTCCATTGGCTATTGTTTGGTCAACTGATGCCAGTTATTTCCAATTGGTAACAAGGGATTTTTTTTATATGGACATCAAAACTAAACTCATGCTTTGAATAAAAGCCTTGAGCCTTTATTCAAGGGGACCTATTGGCATAAAAACCCAGTAATCATTTTAAACTGCTTCACTACAAGCTAGCCAATGTACAAATAAAACCTGTAAATACTTGGTTTCATTTTATGCTATGTATTATAAGTGTATATTGTGCTCACCCACATTTTTTTCTCTCTGAACTTTAATACGTCATAGTTGTCTTGTTAATTGATTGTGTTATTGCCTGAATTACTGCAGTCAGTAATTGTTCATTAGGAATCTTATTGAAATGATTCCTCCTCACCCCCACACCTTCCACAACCACCAACCGCCCCCCCCCCCGCCCCACCACCACCACCACCCCACTAAGCACCCTTAAACCATGCCTTTTTATTGGTGTTTAAGCAATCTCTCTTTAATAATTCCCCTCCTGCACCTTAAAGGCTTGTCTTTTTAAAAAGCACATCAGATTTTTACCCTTGGAATAATTTTCAAATCCATGAATAATTATTATTTGATCTTGAATGACACTATAATTGGGGCTTTTTACTGCTTTCTCCTTTCACATCAACCAGCAGGACTCAGTCGTGTTACCTATGCATTTCAGCATATTTATATTTTTGTTTCGTATATAAGCTGCTGCTAAAACAAGCAACTTAATTTCCATTCTTTAGCACTATTTTTTATGTCATAATAAATGTATGCTTTCTTGTTTATAAATGCCTAAACAAAGAACTTGTTCAGCCTATTTATCTATTGTGCTGTGTACCTATGTCTTTCTTTTTCCCCCTCGCCCCTTTCTCACCGTTCCACTCCCTGCCTTTTCCACCAGTAATATTGTAAAATAAAGGACTTGATGAGATATGTATGAAATAGCAATGCAAAACCACAGTTTGCAATGGACACAGTGACTGAATGTACAGTGTATAGATGGCATTACCATAAATAAAAAAAATTTTGCCCAGATCATGTTCTTTTTATCTTTGAGATCCAAATGCAAAAATGATGTTCTTTCCCAAAGTTTGTTTAGGTCAGTAATAGCCAGCAGTGACAACTGTGTTAGAGTCAACTTTATTAATAAATTTCTTGTTCCTGTTACATGGTGGCAATACTGATACAATGAGTTCATCACCTGCATTTGACATTTGATGTACTTGAGAAACAAATGTATATAATGAGAAGGCACAGAAGAAAGCAGTAAGTTCCTGACTTCCAGTTTCTCCCCCACTCAAGGTTCTTGCCAAAGTACAGTCGCATGGATACCAGAAGTTCTTTGATGCATTGGCTGGGTGATCATTCTTAAATGTATTAGCTGACTAGCTGATCAACAGAGGCTATTCAGGTGAACATAATCTAATTTCCATCCCATTTCCAAACATCCTCTTTTTAACCACAAACTCTGTAGAATTTCTGGCTGATTTTCCTCTCCCTTGCCCAGATGGTCATTAAAAACTATTAGTGTGCAACTGCTAGCCAAATTGAAATACACTAACTCAGGTCAGATTGAACTTGGGTCCTTTGTCAGTTTGTTAGTCTGGCCGGTAAATTCTACTATCACCAATAGATTGTTGGAGAGGCAGTTGATTGCAGATTGGCACCATGACAATTGGGGTGATCTTACAGTCATACTATTTTGAGTGACCACAGACTGCTTGTGAATACTGTAACCATTGTGGTATGAGTGACTGAGCATAACACAGATCATCTCTTATCATTTACACATTGTTTACTTGGACTTAAATAAAGCCTTTAACAGGGTTCCACATGGTAGTCTAATTAGTAAAGTTAGATCACATGGTATTCAGAGTGAGCTTGCCATTTGGATACAAAATTGGCTTAATGGCAGGAGTGATGGCGGAGGGTTGTTTTTTGGACTGGAAGCAGTGTTCCGCACAGTCAGTGCTAGGTCTGCTTTTGTTTGTCATTTATATAAATGATTTAAATGAGGATATAGAAAACATGATTAGTAAGTTTGCAGATGGCACCAAAATTGGTGCTGTAGGGGATAGTGAAGAAGGTTATCTGAGATCATAAAGAGATCTTGATCAATTAGGTCAATGGGCTGAGGAGTGACAGATGGAGTTTAATTAGGATGAATGCAAGGTACTGCATTTTAGTAAAACAAAGACAAGATTTATACATTAAAAATAGGGCTTTGGGTAATGTTGCAGAACAGAGAGACCTAAGGTTTCAAGTACGTAATTGTTTGAAGTTTGCATCACATGTAGATAGGGTGGTTAAGAAGGCATTGAGCATGCTTGCCTTCATTGCTCAGACATTTTGAGTACAGAAGTTGGGATGTTGAGGTTGTAGAGAACATTGGTGAGGCCAATTCTGGAGTTCTGTGTCCAATTCTGGTCTCCCTGTTACAGGAAGGATATTCTAATACTGGAGAGGGTTCAGAAGAAATTTACTAGGATGTTGCTGGGAATGGAGGGTTTGAGTTATAAGGATAGGCTGGGACTACTTTCACTGGAACATAGGAAGTCAAAAGGTGACCTTATAGAGGTTTATAAAATAACGAGGGGTATAGATAAGGTGAATGGCAGATGTATTTTCCCTAAGATAGCAGATTTCAAGACTAAGGGGCATATGTTAAAGTGTGAGCAGAAAGATTTTAAAAAGACATTTGGGGCAATTTTTTTACAGAGTGGTTCGTGTGTGGCTTGAACTTCCAGAGGAAGTGGTGGATACGAGTACAGTTACAACATTTAAAAGACATTTCCATAAGTACATGAATAAGAAATGTTTGGAGTGAAATGGGCCAAGCGCAGGCAGCTGGTACTAGTTTAGTTTGGGATTATGGTCGGCATGGACTGGTTGGACTGAAATATCTGTTTTCGTGTTGCATGACTCAATTATTGAGGAACAACCTCTATTCTTTACAAACAAACCAGTGTCTAGAAAACAAATCCTGGTTGAGGAGCCAGGCCAGTACTGAGGGAATGCTGCACTGTCAGAGACGCCAGCCTTCAGATAAAATATTAAACCGTGCTATGTATATCAGGTGGTCACAAAAGACCCAATACCACTATTTCAAAGAAGAATGGGGGAGTTTTCCTGGTGCACTGAGTTAACGTCCTTTACCCTTATCGCCAAAGAGCAATGATGGTCATTATAACATTGCTGTTTGTGGGCTCTTGCTGTGTTCCAGTTGGTTGCAGTGAACGATACTAAAAAAGGGACTTCACCAGTTTTACAGCACTTACAGACACCCTGAGGTCATAAATGGTGGTATTGAAATGCAAATCTATTTTTTAAATGGTGCAGATTGCACTAGGCTGTGCAAAACTACTTATATCTTTGTACATAATTGTTGATGCAGTTAACCTTTAACCTTCACTCTGATTCTGTGAAACTACTGGAGGTCACTGAATTGTCAAACTAATCAAAGACAGAGATAATTTCTTCCTGTCTACCAAGAATAGCAAGAGATTTAGATTGAACCGTGGTATCAACATGAGGTGAATCTCCTGATGAACATTAACTCTTAAAAACACAATGAACTTAATGTTTATACTTAGCGCCTGTTATTTTATCAATGCCTCATAACATTATGAACCAATAATACAGACAGCTAAATAGTTCCCAGCTCTCCAGACCCCTGCATGTAGTTTGGATTTCAGGAAAGTACACTGATCCAGCTCATGTTAACTGCACCCCATCTATTCCTTTGGTGGAATTGCAGACCTTAAAACCATCTCTAGAAACCCGTATTTTATAACAAAATGCTTGCCTGCAATATCAAATAGCCTTCATTTAGACAAGTACATGTGGAAGACAAAATGGTATGCATTGAACCAAAGGTCTAGAAAAAGTCATCACCAAGAGGGAAAAGGAGAAAATCTCTGTAAGAAATATGGAGTAAACAGTATCACTGTGAATCAACTGTGTTATATACAAAATTGTAGTAGGAATAGACCATTCAGGCTCTCGAATGCTCACCATTCAACAAGATCATGGCCAATCTAATTATGACATTAAATCCACATTCCTACATAACCTTGATAACTTTTCAACCCATTGTTTAAAATGAATCAGTCTATCTCTGTCTTAAAAAATATTCAAGGACTCTGCTTCCACTACTTTGCACAAAGAGAATTCCAATGACTCTCAACCCTGTGAAAGGAAATGTTTCACCTCATCCCTGTCTTTTATTGATAAGCCCTGATTTTTAAATAATTCTAGATTCTCCCATTTCCAAAGAAAATATACTCTCCACAATCCCCCCAGGATCTAAGGTTTCAATTAAGGCACTTCTTACTTTTCTAACCTCCAGCAGAAAAAGCCTGTCAAAACTTTCCTCACAAGATCACCTACCCATTCCAGGTATTAGTCTGATAAATCTTCTCTGAACTGACTGTGTATTTACAACCTTCCTTTAATAAGGTAATCAAAACTGTGAACAGTACTCTGACAGCAGTCACACCAGTGCTTGTATCATCGAAGTATATTCTCCCTACTTTAGTATTCAGTTTTCCTGGCAACATGAAAACGTTCTATTAGGTTTCCTAATTTCTTGTCCCTCCACACTAACCTTTTGCAATTCACACATAAGGAAACCCAGATCCCTCTGCATCTCAGAGCTCTGCAATCTGTCATCAGTTAGATAATGTTTTTTTTATTCTTCCTGCCAAAAAGGGCATTTTCAGTTTTCCCACATTAAACTCAATTTGTCATATTCATTTCACTTATCAATATATTTTGTAACCTCTTTGAGTCCTCTTCACATCTTAAATTCCTACCTATCTTTGAGTCATCATCAAATTTAGCAACTGTACCTTCCATCTCTTCATTGAAGTCATTTATATAATTTGTAAACAGACTTCAGTACTAACAGAGGTTCCCAGCTGTACTCTAAACAAGGCTAAAGATTTTGACCCTTCCCCCACCTGTCATCCCTCCTCAGGTCACCAGGCCGCTTTGTCTCAGGCACTGTGCTCTATTTGATGGTGATAGTAAGCAATGGGAGCTTCAGTTCAATGTTCAGTGACCTGCAAGCTGTTCTGCAGACACAGGTTCCCCAGAGTGTTGGCTGAGATTGAATATTCACGCATAAGGCCCAATCCCCCAACAGCAATGATTGATATGTTTTATATTAATCAGAGGGATGCGGTTCTATTAATGTGCAAATTATATGCGACTGCTCCGTGAGGATCAAAAAGATGATTGCTCTGTGGGTTCACTGAAGACATTAAAGTGAGAATATTGCTGACAACCCACGATTGCCTGCAGCACAAAATATCAACACCTTAAAATTGCTTCATTTGGTTTTAATGTTACAGTCAATTTCCATTAAGTGAATAACTTACACATCACATAAAAAATGTTGTTTACTTATGACATTCAAAGCACCAGGGCCATACTAACTTGGTAGCATAATTACCCTACTCAATAGGCTTTAGTTACAACCCCTGCCCCCACCCCACAATCATTTAATGGGCAAATGACTGCCCGGCATTGAGCCATGCAGGAAAGGACCAATTTGACCTCTGCCCTCTGTTGAATTAGCTGATCTCACTTGGTACAGTACAACAACAAAAAAGAAAACCTTGCATTTGTATAGTACCTGAACCAAACTGAAAGCCAGTACAGTTACTGAAGTGCTTTTTGAAGCGAAGACACTAGTGTGATCAAGGAAACACAGCAGCCAAATTGTGCATTACATTCCCACAAACAGAAATGTGATAATGGCCAGATAAATTGTTTAAGTGATATTAGCAAAGTGTAAATGTTGTCCCAGGCCACCAGGGAGAACTTCCTTGCATAGTGATCCATGTGATCTTTTTGCACTCACCCAAGAGAACAGTCAGGGCTTCAGTTTAGCATCTTCCTCTGAGTTCATCTGAAAGATGACAGCAGTGCAACACTTCATCAGTACTGAGTAGAAGTATCAACCTGGACTGGTTCTCAAGTCCTTGCAGTGAGACTTGAACCCACATCTTCTGACTTGGGGTGAAAATGCTA